AATGCTTCGCTAGGATGAAGCAAGGGGCAGTGACTTTATTTACTGGTGAGTCCCGTCCGCCACATCACAGTGTTGTTAAACGGACATATGTGGCTTTTTATAGGGAGAACGCTTGCCAGGCAAAAACGCACCACGTTCTGGAACACTGCTGCCGAACCATTTGCTGGAACGGGAAAATCCCGAACCACCCAGCTGGCACCACGAGGTTGGTACGTTACTAAGACAGGCGGCAATGGCCGCACCTAATTTTCTGATCGTTGCTGACATAAACCTTCTCCATGCTGATTGGCAGCTTGCTGAAAACAGGGTGGGTACTCTGGAGAAGGAACTAGTAGATTGGGTGCATGTAAATGCGTTCGAGCAATACGTCAATGTTCCGACCAGGAGTACGCTTCAACCCTTGATATCGTGATCGCCAGACATGGTCACTTGATTGACCTACGTGTGGAGCTACCCATAGGTAAGAGTGATCATTGTGTTTTGACCATTTCTCTGGACACACCAAAGCTTGCAGAGAATCGTCGAATGGGAAGGAATTTAAATCGTATTGATTTTACGAAGCTGCGGGATCGAGCCCTTCAAATCAATTGGATCCCTGAACAGGACCAGGCCACTTTGGAACAGAGGTGGCTTCTACTCAAAAGTGGACTCGTACAGTCACTGAACGAATTTGCTCCTTTACACACCAGGAGACATCTTGGGAAACCCCGATGGTGGAGAAGAAAAATTGATAGAGCGATAAAGAGTGGCAATGCTGCGTGGAGAAAATATCAAAAATAACTCGGGGCTTCCGATGTTGGCTGCAATACAGGTGTCGAAACATTGCTATTAAGTTGTAGCGGCAGGCGAAGTACTCATATGAGCTTAGGTTGGCCAAATTTGCGAAGACAAATCCCAAGTGTTATTACAGTTATGTCCAATCAAAGGCTTCTCTAAGAGAGGTGGTCGGCTGTCTAACCATGGAGGACGGTACCCAGGCTGTAGACGACGTCGATAAAGTAGAAGCGCTGCTACCTGTCTACCAAAACCTGCATCGGAAAGATAGTGGGTCAGGCTTGCCATCACAGCCGCCCTGCTCAACTAGCTATACAATGCGGGAAATTATTCTCAATGTGCCAGAGGTCTTCACAGTGCTGGCCAGTTTGAACCCTTATAAATCAGCTGGTCCTGACAGTGTACATCCCGCCATAGTTAAGCCGCTGGCTGATACCTTGAGTATCCTGTCGCGGAGTTATTCAACCAGTCTCTTCAAGAAGGCAAGCTGCCACGTGATTGGAAGGAGGCGACCATTGTTGCCATCCACAAGGGGGTTCTGAGTCGGTGCCCCTTAACTATAGACCTGTTAGTTTGAGCAGCATCATGCTAAAGTGCTTGAAAAAGCTTATAAGAAATAGGATTTGTGAGCACTTGACTGAGCACAACCTAATTAGAGCGGAACAGCATGGCTTTCTTAAAAAGAAGTCTTGTCTTACCAATTTATTGTGCTTTTTAGACGAGATTACCCGATGTCTTGATAGTGGGATGTCGGTAGAGGTGTGTTATTTGGACTTCACTAAAGCCTTTGATTCAACGAATCATCGATTTTTAATTGAGAAGCCGACATGGTTTGGATTGCATCCTCAGCTATTACTGTGGCTTTCTGAATTCTTACGTGGAAGGACATTCAGAGTCAGGGTTGGGGAAGCGAGTTCTAGTGTAGGCCATACCTACAGCGATGTTCCCCAAGGTTCGGTACTGGGTCCATTGTTGTTTCTTATGTTTATAAATGAACTGGCTCCTTTTCTTGAGGATCCCTGATACATCTTCGCAGATGACTTAAAGCTAGTCAGTAGGGGAAACCGAGCGACAATGACTAAGGACATAATCACTGTGGTGAATTGGTCGAGCCAGTGGGATCTACCTCTGAATGTCAATAGATGTCAACTATTGACAAATAGTGGCAGTGGAATTGCAGTTCAGTCTCCTGCAGGATCTCTATCATTGCTGTGTACTGATGAAGCCCGCGATCTAGATGTCATCATAGTGAACAATGTTAAGCCTTCGGCACAGTGTCGCCATGGTGCCAATAAAGCGCGACAAGTTATTTCGTCTTAGGAGGGCGCTGAGCAACACCAAAGCAGAAGTATTCTTGCCGTTATATAGAGCAGTGGTTAGGCCAAATCTGGAGTATTGTGTTCAGGCCTGGGCACCGTACCTCCGGTGTGACGTCATGTGAATAGAAAAGATTCAGAAACTTGCGACCAGGATGATCGAAGGTCAACGAGGGAAGTCGTACGAAGATCGTCTAAGTAGCTTAGGATTATTTTCCTTGGAACGGCGTAGGCTGAGGGGATTGACAGAGACGTTTAAGATCATTAAGGGATTTGGTGGTATTAATCCTACCCATCTGTTTCAGTTGGCTATGTCAGACCATCTGCGCGGGCATCGCCTGAAGCTCAAGCAACATAAAGCTCGTCCGGACATCAGGGCAAAGTTTTATACAAACCGAGTAGTTTACTTCTGGAATAAACTTCCTTCTGATTTAGTGGTGTGAGTCTGTAGAAGCCTTCAAAAGGGGCTTAGATGAGTCTTGGTCTGCCCTTTTCCCAGAGATATCGTATTTGTACTGGAATATGTAGTGTATTTCGACGCTGACACATGAAAGTGCAAAGATTGCTCTTGTTTTTGCCTCATTCCTTTGCAGAAGCAAGGTGTCAATCCAACGTCGAAGTGCCGGGGGCCGCTTCACTTACCGGCACAAGAAACTGGACGCTCGTTAGACGAAAGCCTCTATCGTCCGTTTGACCTGACCTGACCCGACCTGATCATCATCAACCTAAGTTAGTTGAGGGTGAGAAACACACCTCAGCCAATGTGCCGCAATAGAAAAAGGTAAGATACAAAATATGGCACTACAAAAAGTTCAAAAGCAAGTAATATAATGTTAAACATGATATTATGCAATCCGTATGAGATCGGAATCGGAGGGGGAATCTAAAGGGACAAAGAAACTCAAAACACAAAAGCCACTGGAGCCGGCTCTTCGTCATATCAGCAAGTGTGTCTAAGCTAACATGTTCATGGTCTTTAGGGCTCCAGCCAGGCAGTCGGGATGCAACAACCGGCACCAAATTCGAAGTGACGGTTTTCATTGCTCTCCAAGTCGGCGTTTGGCTTTCCCTTCTCTCCTTCCAACCATAGACCCGGCGCGCAAACAATGCACGTTGCGGAAGTCAGTGGGCTGACAGGCGCAACAGGTGGCCCAACCATCGGAGCCTGGTGTGTGATATAATGGTGCTGAGCGATTCACTAGCTCTTCCTGCACCAAATACGCGACGCCGAACACGCTCATTGCTCATGCGGTGCTCCCACCAGAAATGAGCTAAGCTGCGAAGACAGCGATGGTCGAACGTGACGAGCCTCTTTGTGTTCGTGGACCTAATGGGCCTAGTTTCACAGTTGTACTGCATTATAAACTCCGCCCCTCCGGGCGAGAGTGATGTCGCGTCTGCGCCACAGGTGGCGGAGATTGGCAAAAGCACCTCGAGTTTGTGCTTTACGGTTCGTAACTCATCTTCGATCCCACGGGCGCTAACACAGTTGAACAACTCCTAGCTGATCACCACCAAGGGTCAGCGCATAGCCCAAAGGAATTGAGAGCCAGTACTTATCGATCCAGTGCCGCTTGGCACGTTTGGGATCTGTCACAGATTAGGGCAATACCGTCCATATACTCCAGCATCAAATAATCTAGAAACTTCAACATCCAGTGTAGCAGTAAACGTAGATAATGATTAGGGAACGGCAAGTTTGTTTGATCGGACTGATCAGCTGTAGTATAAAGCACTAAAATGCTACGTCCTACGTATTGGAGCTTCTGAGCCACCCGGAAATTACCACATTGGTGGTTTCCTTCTCAAACACCGCTCGGGAGAGACCTAGGCGTAATAACAGCACCTGATCTAAAACCATATAACATACACTGAAAAAGGTTACCGCTTCAAACAGGAAGTGCTGTCATAAGATCCATTTCGAATGACACCGAAGATTTGCAGGCTATTGTTCACCTCCCATGTACGACTGATTCTAGAGTATGGGTTGCCAGCTACATTTCTACTGTTTGAATGTGCCTTAATCGAAAAGGTGCAGAGGTTTGGTTATAATTCAGTTCCCGACGGCTCTAAACGAATCTGTTCTCCATGAAATACCGTCGCAGTCGTAGAGACCTCATTATGAGGCGCATACTAAGAGGGAAATTTGGGAACGAGCTACAGCAGCTCTTTCAGCCAAACACAGGTGGCTCTGTACGAGGGCACAACTGGAAGCTATACAAACCGAGGCTCAAATGGAAGACATCAGCACTACATCGGTACGTACTACCGACGATTCATTGCCGCGCAACTACCAACGGTCGCAAGTGAGCTAAGGATTCTGTGAGGGTCGCGCTGCCGAAACGCAGACTCGGACCGGCGCCGCAATATCACATTACATTACACTCACCACTCGGGTATTGAATAACTGGAATCGTCTACCGGCGACTGTTGTTGATTCCACGACCGAGGAAAGTTTCAAACGGCCCGTAGCCTAACGGCAATGACCTTGTAATCTGGCGGCGAGGGTTGGAGAGGGCGCAGGGGCAGGGTGACTCTCGCAGTATCAGCCCACTTTCAATTGGTGTTGGTTGCGCGGTAGCGAAGCGTCGGTACTACGTAGCGGTGTACTGCTGATGCATATTTTAGATACTCACGCAAGATACCAACGCCGCACTGTCCTACCGCGACTGATCCGGTTCCCTGAGGACTACCGGGTAGCAATGACATACGTGCTCTTAGTGCTGAAGTAGTGATGGGGCTAACATGGGTCCATGCTTCTGCCCTCTACAAATATATGAATCGCGTGACGATGAAAAAATAAATTTATATAGCGATGGAATGCCTTTAAAAACATCATACAAAAATGCCACAACAAACAAGAGCAACTACAAATTATTCATAAAAGTTAGTAGGAAGAGCAGAACTCACAACAATTCTTTCGGATTTCAGAGTTGGAATTGGTTATAGCAGTGCTTCCCAAACTCGGGCAAGAGTTCTTGTCCGCTAGCCATTCAGGGTGAACAATGACTCCTCTCTGAGAATAGATTTTTCTTGGGGCTCCACGTAGTGTCCGTGCATTTATCTTCTGAAGCATGACTACCCAGCCAGTTCAAAGCTAGGTACACAAAAGTAACCGTTTGTTGACATGGACAGCAGTAACTACTGCTCCGTAAATTGAGTTCATAGTTTTCCGAGGCGGTTAATAAAGCATAGATGACAGGCAGTACATCGGCAAGATTGATTAACAAGTGAAAACATCATAACGCGTCAAAGGGGTAAGGGACCGACCCACGCACAATACGCCAAATATTGGATATTTGCGTTGCTGTGTACAGATGCCTTTGAACCGCCTACTTAAGCTGTAAACACATGGACTGCACGCGTATATGCAAAAAGTTACTCTAAAACATGCACAGGGAAGTACGTTTACAATTGAGAGATGTCAAAAATGGCTAACGTAATAATTGCTAAACAAAGCAAGATGTTTCTCTTAAATGCACCGGAAAAGGTTTAATAATTTTGTTATCATATTGTTATTTTTGTTGTAATTGCGGATGCATTGTACATACCCGCAATTTTCACGAACTATATTCTCCTTGCGCGATTTCATACAGACAATTTAAAGGTGCGGGTATTGTGAGTGGGTCGGTGCCGAGCAAGCAGACATCTATTTGATTGTGTGAAACAAATGACCTAGTACGCATTCAAACAAGCAAGTTGCACTTTGTTTACTGTTTTGTAAAGAACACAAGTCATTCATATATTTATCATGCATACAATTTACAGTTTGTACACTTGCGGTAGTTTTTAATTTGGCTTTCGTTGTTTACTATATTTTGTTGGACGAATAAGAGATACATAAAGGTCTGGAAATAAATTTTATGTCCCAGTGGAATGTTTTTTCCTCAGCGAGTTGTCGAGCCGGAATGGCTTGTGTGATATTTGCATTCCAGCGCAACCAATTGATACGCACTTGCACAGAAAATTCAAAACTGATATGCGTCAGAATATTGAGGAAATTAGGAATGCTAATAATGCAATTATAATCATGTAAGAAGTATAGCGAAGAGCTTGGAATAGTAGGCTAAAGGAATTTAGACGAACTTTAACATTTTTTGCCCTTCGTGTCTTGTTTAGTGCACCAGAATACATACCCTTTCTTTATATGTATACTTTGAAGTTGATTTTTCTTCGGTTAAACAAATGGTTATTTGCTTTATTCTCAGGACGTACTTTGCTACAGTCTGCTCTGGTGAGTCTCGTGTTACACCATCCCTTGTCCTCACTGATTCTCTTTTTGCTTTTGTAGCCTGCGAGCTACATGATGGGTCCAGCTGGCTTCTTTCTGTCTACCGTCATCGAGTTGGCACTTCTCTTGGCTGTCAGTGTTACCGATTAGCATCTTTGGTGCCACCCAACGTTTTGTGATCCCGGCCTAGAACACCCTTCCTTCTGCTTGGATAGCTAGTTCCCTTATGTTATTTTTACACCACGCATTATCAATTCTATTCTCAGCAGAAATATGGATACATTCCTTTCTCACAGTGAAAGTTTCTGAGAATGTGCCATCCATGTACGTGGTTGGCACCGTAGTGTCAGCCACCCTACCTTTTAGGAGAGTGACCCTGAATAATTGTTTTGCACACAAAGAATCCACTTTCTTCGATTTCCGAACTTCTTCAGGTTGTATTAAATATTAACTCATGATTCGGGTTCCTCGGAGTATATCCCCTATGGGCGTTGACATGGTATTTCGTCCTCTTGTTTCAAAATATCTAACTTAAACTGCGATAATCCAGAGTATCAAGCCTACTGTCAAGATCCGTCTGCAGCAACTATTGTGGAATCTGCAACTAGAAGATAGGATGTTCTCAAGCAGGTTGTCCCAAATGAAACAACTCATTAGTACATACGATGATGGCGATGGGCTTTTCTGCGGTCTGTGTATGCAATGCCTCTCTGAAACAATCTGGCAATCCTTACAGTTGCAAGTAAACTACCACTCGCAGCAACTGCAGGTCTAATCATAAGAAATTATACTCATCAGCTGTGCACCGTACAAGAGCTTCGCCGCCACGTGACTCCCTCCCGTCGCACATGTGCTGGGTATGCCTTGAGGACTTCCACACCTACGGGGATTCGAATCGGGGACCTTAACACTGCAAAACCGGTGAGCGGAACAATCGGCCAACGGCCAACAGACCTGGCAGTTCGCATTAAGCAACGGCACCAGCGAGACTGAAGCCAGAGCACTTACGCAGCTTAGCCCTTGCACAGCCTTAACGACCCCGCTACTAGTGAGCTGTCAACAAGAGACGCCCTGTGCTAGCAGCTTGCGCCGCTTAAGCGCCAGCTCGAGAAACAGCATAAACCGTAAGCGCCACAACCGATGTAGGTAATCGCCCAGTAGCACGAAATCTGACGCCTTTGTTGGCTGCTATTAGCACTCGGGTTTCAATGATAACGCCCGTAATCGCGTACATCTAGATAAGGAAATCAATTTATTCTCGTACGTTTTGAGGCACGCCAAACCGAGCATGACCAAAATTGGACAAACACTGGCGTTTCGCCAACTTCTGGATAGGTGGTACGCAGGAAAGTAAAAGTGTTAAATCACCTTGTAAGGAGCTTGCTAGCTGAACAACCTCCTTGTGGTGTCAGCTGGGTTGTTCCGGTTTAACCCGTTCCAGCAAAGAGTTCGGCGGCAGTGTTCCAGGACGTGGTGGGTTTCGTCTGTCAAGCGTTCTCCCTATAAAAAGCCACAAATGTCTGCTTAACAACACTGCGACGTGGCGGTCGTGCCTCGCCACAAAATAAAGCCACCGCCCCGTGGTTATCCGGATAATTCTACCTAACCCAAGGACATCAATCTCCTACTCGCATATTGATGACGATATCAAACATTGAAGATTGGAGCAGCACAACTCTAAGCACAAAATACAAAGCTACCTACACATACACACAAAATGGCATACATACATACATACCCTCTACACAAAAACAAACTGCTATGGCAAACATATCGGATTTCTGCACCTTCTCTATCATGCATCGTTATGTCAAAATGATCATGCCTGTAAAGGCGTGCCTCACCTTGTTGGGAATAAAAATTTATTTATTTATTTATTTATAGTTAGCTCTCTGTTGATGATGAAGGATCGAATATAATTAACAATAGTACGTAAACATTTGTGAGCGTATGCAACTGAGTTACTGATGTGTGCAGTAGGAGTCTTGTCAGTGTGATTAAAAGGGCAGTGATTTTATTCGGTGGCGAGGCACCTCCGCGACGTCACAGTGTTGGTAATCAGACATTTGTGATATTTTATATGGAGAACGCTTTCCAGGCGAAAACCCACCACCTCCTGGAAAACTGCCATCAACCTTACGTTGAGCCAAATGTCACTGGCAAGCCTGCATCCGTACCGATTTATCTCGTAGTTATTGACGGTCACGCTGCGTCCAATCTCTTTCGTTGGCTGAGAAACTGCCTTAGTCAGGATCCACGGTGGATGGTTCAACGCAGCGGTACTGTCGAAGATGTTCTATATTCAGGGGGAATGGAGCGCGATCATCCTGCAAGTTGGGAAGGAGTTGGTAGTATTGGTGTGTTTTGTATGCTTGTGTATCCATGTCCAGACAATGGAGCCACGGGCCAGGCGGGTTGCAGGCCCTTCCTTAGTGGAGATTCTTCTCTATTAAATCTTCCATCCTTTAGATGATTAGGAAGAGAAAAAGGAAGGCCTGCAATTCTGCCAGGAAATTTGATTGACATTGTATAAATGCATTGTAAAAGTGCTGCATTGTGTGAAGACTCGACATAATGATGGTATTGATATAGAAATCGATTTGTAGCAGGAATACGGTCTTGAGATTATCTCTAATAGGACATGGATATTAGCTAAAATTGCAGTATGTCAACCGGAGACCAGTAGTTGATTATGTACCCTCGATTGGGGCGAACTCCATAAAAGATATGGTACAAGGTGACAAAATATAGCGGGTCTCGCTGTGTTGACTAATAAGGGTGCAAGCCAAACCAGTCAATATGATGCGCCTCGTCCGTCACCCAAACTCCATGCACTACGGTGAACCGCGGTTACTCCAGGTAACACTTTAGTCAGGTAATGATATAGAGGCATTGCTGTTGTCAGCCGCTTGCCTCGTTACCACCACATGCGCTGTTCGAATTTTGCCAGATGTTCGTTAGATCGAACGCCAGCAACGCAAACAAAATCCGCATGGCTTCCGTAAACAACAATCAGCAAAACTTGCAGTTGTTCGTGGTGTCCCCGAGCTCCAGTCCTTAGACGAGCCAGAGGCCAAGGCGTATGACTGAGATGAATGGCATTTTCTTCGCGGAGTACTGTTACTAGAAAAACTTACTGCAACTTGGACCTGAAGCCTGCCGCTATCACCTAACTACAAAGGGTGTTGCGCCCGAGTGACGATAGTATCATTGCACTCCGAACTGATGGCAGAACCAGTGAGCAAAATGGGGCACAAATAGCGCAAAATGCTGCCATCCGAAATACGTATAATTGGGATAGGCACCGGGCCAGGTAGACAATGTAGCACTGAACAAGCAACTTACTAATGCAGTGCTGTCACAGAGTAGCTCAGAACGGTGCTAATGCCAAAACACACCGACTGCTGAAGAGGGAATTCATGGCTGGCGCTGAGAGCTCTATATAACAAGCTGATCTGGTCCATGACCCCGCCTTATCGGTCTTAAAAAACAATGACCGGAAGCTGACTCCACAATGGTAGACGTAGACCCAAAGCAAACCAAGATTAACAAACCTCACCTGCTTGTATACCAATGTACAGGTTCTTCTCAGCAAGCTAACCGAACTTTGTCTTCGTCAGGTCTCTACGTCTTGAAACCTAAGTATGGTCACCGAAACCTGGCTGAACGCTGAGAGCACGATGCTGAGATTGCACTACCCGGCAGGGCTTCCATACGAAACGATCTACCTATCGGAGAAGGTGGAGTGCTTCTGTATTATCAATCCGACCTGCATGTTGATATCATTTTGGACCCAGAAACGAAAGTAGCCGATTCTTTTTGGTACCGTATACAACTAAAAAGGGGTGATGTGGTTTTGATAGCAATGGCGTATGGCCTTCCAATGTCCGCCTTCGAAATAGATTAATGTCTAGCTTTTGCTATGAAACGAGTCCTGCCGCGACCATACAGTACTCTCCTTCTGCTGGTGGACTTCTACCTGCACGCAATCAACTGCCAGCATCGCACAGCGAACAGTGCAAAGCTGCTTTACAAGCGGTGCTCGCCGATGTACCTCTGTACAACT